TTTTCTTGAAGCAGCTTGTCATCGCGCGCGATCGCTCTCCGCTACTGCGCTAATGGAGCTTCGTCCTCTGGAACGCCGAACAACGCATGCTTTTTTTAGCCGACTTGTAGCCTGTAGTGAACCCCAAGACGAAGCAATGACTTTGTTTTCGCACCATGAGAGTGCATACAGAAGCATTGGTGTCAGAGTGCAAGCGCAATTAAAAAAAAATGAGGATGAACGCGTGGGATGAAACTGTCGGAAACGTGCAAACGACGTGAATGGATGGATGGAGGATGGATGGATGAATATATGGAGGATGGATGGATGGATATGGCTGTACCCTTTAGATCCGGCGGTGGCTAGCGCCACCAAGCCGTATTGCTTAATGAACCATAAAACTAGATTTATTTTTCCCCTTTAAATAGTGAGATTGAAGATTCGTACTTTGCACTGAAAAGTTTATTTTCACTCATGCCTTGACTTGAGCCATCAATCAGATAACCTCCTTCTAGTTAATTCTACCCGCTTAAAGTCTATCTTGTCCTCCCTGTCCCTAAACCCCAGTGCTTTGAAGAACTCCGCGCCATCATCCTGAACTATAGGGTGAATCCCTTTACAGAACATCATCAAGTGTTCGGCAGTTTCTTCTTCCTCTCCACACGCACTGCATACCGTGTCTACCCCTTCGTATCTGGCCCGATATGTCTTGGTTCGCAATACTCCCGTCCTTGCATCAAACAGTAGAGAACTACCCGAGTATTATCATAGATCCTTTCTTAGTAATTTCCTGCTTAAAGTTTGATTGATCTCTAGTGCGGACTTCTTAATCGTGCCAATTCTCCACATGTCAGTCTCAGCTTCCTTCAACTTCTTTTAACAGATAATTCTTTTTGGTTTGGCCCCCTGCTGTTTTCTTAGATTTACCAGTCAATTTCTGGTCCGCTTCCTCTATTTTGTATCGTCATTCTTCATGTACAAGTAGCTGAAAACCTTCCTTGCCCAACGCTCCTCCCCTATTTCTCTTAATCGCTTCTCAAATTTTATCTTGCTGCTAGCTTCCCTGCCCTCAAATGATGTCCATCCCATATCACCTGTACTCCCTGATTTGGTGTATTCCCGTGAGCTCCTAAAGCAAGCCTACCTATTCCACGTTGCTTATTTCTAATCTTGCTTGAACTTCTGATCTCATGCACGAGACTGCATTGTCGAACGTCAGAACAGGAACCATTACCCCTTTCCATATTCCTCGCACATCATCATACCTATTGTAATTCCATAGTGCCCTGTTTTCATTACCACTGCATTCCTGTTACCTTTAGTCGTCACGTATGTTCGTGTTCCCTTAGGTACTCGGCCCAATTGATTATCCATACGCCCAGATCTTTGTATTGTCTGTTATCTCTAGCTTGACCTCCTGTATTCTAAGCTCACTACCTTCATTGTCATTAAAAATCATGACTGCTGATTTTTCCTTACTGAATCTGAAATCTAACCTATCTCCCGCATTACCGCAGATATCCACCAATCTCTGCAAATCTCCCGCATTACCGCAGATGTCCACCAATCTCTGCAAATCTTCCTTGTTGTCGGCCATTAGCACTATATCATCTGCGTACATCAATGCTGGTAGTGCCTGTTCAATGAGTTTTCCTTGTTTGACGAAAGAGAAGTTGAAGCCCAGTCCACTTCCCTCTAATTTGGCCTCTAATTCTTGTATAGGTACATCATGAATATTAAGGGTGACAGGGGACAGCCCTGCTTAAGCCCCTGTTTTACCTCTGCAGGCTTGGATACCTGTTTTCCCCACTTTATAATTACCTTGTTGCCTTTATAGATGTCCTTTAAAAGATTAGTGATACATCTTCCACGCCTAGTGTGTCCAGTATTCCCCACAATTCCTCTTGAACCACGCTATCGTACGCTCCCTTGATATCCAAAAATGCTATAGCCACAGGGGCCTGTGTTCCTTTTCTGCTATTTCGATGCACTGTGTCAGTGAGAACAGATTGTCTTCCAACCTCCTGTGTTTCCGAATCCTATTCTGCAGTTTCCCCAGTACCCTTCATCCTCTATCCATGCCTTCAGTCTTTCCTTTATAATCTGCATCACCAGCCTGTAGACCACTGATGTCACTGTTATAGGACGGTAGTTGTGTATGTCAGCTTTGTTCCCCTTTTAGCCAAGCACCTTCAGCTGTAGTATAAACCTCTGCTCTAGGCTCGTCTAATTTCTTAGGGAGTTTAGATAGTTCCAAAACTCGTATAAACGATTGCGCGCGCCCCCACGCGGCTTTCCCTCGGAGGCTTCAGTGCGCTCCGTGGGCACCGCTTGCCGCTCATCACACTTTCCTATTCTAGCCACTGTTAGAGTGTACTTGAAGTATTGAGTGGGGGGACCGCG